TATCAATTTCATTACTCTCCATCCACGCTTTAACCAATTTTGCTCTATAACAAGAAGCATTATCATCCTGAAAAATGAAGTTTTTTACGCCGAACAGGTCTTTTTCACTACGCATCATCTTATTATGTAGTACTCTCAATGTATTTGGTAGCATTCATCATCCCAGAGACAATGTGTAGGCGATCCACTTCTCGAGCGGATATGCAACCCCATATCATAACGAAGGTTGGATGTTTAATTGTGAGAAGAACACATTTCGGAGAAAATTCTTTACCAGGAAATCTTCTGACGTAGGAATTTCCAGCATAATTATTCATATTGAAAGTGGATTCATCACTAAACAGTATACTCTGCCACTGCTCTGACAAAATGGAAAATTAAAGTTAATAATGAAAAATCAGCCCAAATCACATTTACAACTAGAAGATTCACTTGTCTACTTGTCTACTAGAGACGCTGTGAAATATCTTGGGTTGCATTTGGACCAAAAGCTGACCTGGAAATAACATATTAATTACTCGACAGAAAATCACAACTTTAATTGAATCGTTTATTTCAGAAGCCACCGCGAAACCCCCAAGTATCCTTGTTGTAGAGAAACTGCTTGTACTGGGAGACTTTGAATGGCTGCTTATTTTCTTTGAATACTTTCCTGCCTGATGTTTCGTCCGAATGTGGCATTTTCTTATATGATTTGGGCCACTAATTTTTGAATCTGAGAACATCGTTTGATGTAAGGTGATATACAGTAAATCGGCCAGACTTACTAGCTTTTCTAGCTCTGTCACATGGGGAAAATGAGTGGCCACGTACACGGTAGTTGTAAGTTATTGTTTCAAACCAGAGTCACAGAGGTTTAGTAAAAAACGCACAACTGTATGATTCTTATTTTGGCCTGATGGTCTATCACAAAACAATATCAGAAGCTTCACATTAATTGAAATGTCATTGAAATAGTTCAGTAGCATTGAACATACTTTGTTAGGGCCTTTGTTCGCTTGGCCCTCGTGATAGATGTACAATTTGGAAGAATTAGTTTTCAAATCGTGTAACGAAAACACATTTACCTAGAGCTGCCTCATGTAAAAACCTAATGTACAGGTATGTGCGGCAAGGGTGCTCATCCATAGCTTTGTAAAACTTTTTTGCTTGCCTTAAGTGTATTATTTTCTCAGCAGCTACATTTCTTTTAGCATTATCACTCAAACAGTTGTTTTTCAATTTAGCCGACAGTCTTTCGCAAGTTGAACACACATCTACTTGTGGTCTTCCAAAACAGCAAACAAAGTTCTCTTTAAAGTATTTGTTGTAGAAACTATACTTTACTTTATTTTTTAGGTCAGGGTTGTCTAAAATAAACATTTCATACATTTTTGCGAGATCAAGCCTAGTGTCAAGATATTTTTTAGGTTTTCCCCCATAATGAGTTTTCTTGACATTAAATGTCTCAATGTGCTGCTGAATTCTCACACAAACGTTACCTGGAAGAGCGTTTCCACTTCCAAATTTTCCCCTCCTATCTACAAGGGTTTTGTCAAGGGCAGAACATTTATTTATCTTTTGATTCGATTGTCAGAAATTGCAAAGACTTTTAAGAAAACACCTCTACAAATTTGAGTAAAAACACCATTTACTTTCAAGTTATACTTGTATGAATGGGATTTTTTGTTTGGCAAGTCATCAGTAGGACATCAAGGTTTTCTTGAGCTTGCTCAATATTTACATTAGGCTTGCGGTTTTTGCGTCTACGTTTCACAGGCAAAACCTCCACTAAACCTTGGAGGTACGTGTCTTGGGTGTTTTTATTTTCTGAAGAGTAAAATGTTTCCCATAGTTCTTGTTTCATTTCATCCTTAAGTTTCAAAGAAAATTTCAAATTGCACTTACAGTTTATATCATTCATCGGGGCTTTGTTGGGAACTTCTTTTCCTTTGTACGAGACGTACTGCAGTCCTTTGTGCCTAGCATTCCGAATAATATTCCGTTTGTATTTTTCTTCGTGCATAACTCCACGCCTACGCTTGGAGCTATCGAAGAAATTTTTATCGAAAACTCACGAAAACTAGTCACTCAGTGTTACCTAATCTTTAAATCGAACAAAACAATTTATCGCAGAAAGAACCTAAGCGACGCGACGGCGTTTGGGTTCTTTCTGAAATAAACGCATTATTTTCAAGGCTGTTAAATAATATTGCTGATATGAAACATAGGTTATTTCTGTACTAAAATATGTATTTACCTTTAAAATGTACAGTACCATCAAAAATACATTTTTTTAAATATTTTGTCGCTTAGGTGGTTTCTGAAATAAACGATTCAATTGGAGAACAAAATACTTACTTTGGAACATCATACTAAAACCAATATGAACTTACCGCCTACTACTTTGGAGCTGTAGCAAGCCTTTAAACATAAAAATGTTGCAGACCTTCCAATCAAAAACACGGCGTATGATAGCTAACGCTCCTTCGATGTGAGCAATGCAACCAATTGCAATGGCCTAGGAGTACCAACCGTGAAAGATGTCGTATCACTTTAAGCCAACAAGGCCAAAATTCGTAATTCAATGCACCACAGCCAAATTATCAGTGAATTATATCAGCCACCAATGAAGAAATAAATGCTAAAGAGGACTTGGCCAGCAGAGCTGGTTACATAGGTGAAAATGTTACTAGTTATGAGTAGATTGTAAATATGCATTTAAAAAATAAAAAATAAAGAAAATGTAAACAAGTTTTTATTAAAATATAAACAATTTATTTATTTCATCAATCATTTAAAATGTATTTTAAGGACGAAAGACCGAGTAGATATGAACTAAACTATAAAGTAAACATAAGATTTAAACAGTTACATTCGGGAGTGTATCCGTAAGTTTTTTACGCACATTTTTTGTTATAAATCCCTTAAATATTGATTAGAGGTTATACGCAAATGACCGTTTGTAAAAATGAAGTTCCGATCGTAAAGTTTGTGCAAGCATCGACAATACTACACCAAGCTTGATTTATTTTCAGTCGCGCCAGTCGATTCAGATGGAGTATTCTGTAAATTACGATCTTTACGCTTTAAGCAGCCCATAGATTACACATTACAATACTCAAGAAACAATACCGTGGTTTATTTCGGTACTACTGAAATTTGATGCTTGCTATAGGCGTGCTAAAACGTACACAGTGAAAGCATTTTCAGAAATTATATAGTTATCACCGTGACCAAATGCTCACAAAAGAACCTATGGTAATATGTCAGCGACTTTTACGCTCCAACATTATAAAACATGAGTGAAAAGCATCTGGTGTTTGCAAGGTTGCCAAATTAGGGACGGATAGCATTCTGGAATTGTAGTCAACGTCATTTTAGTTTTAAATCTACTAATAGCGTTGTTATTTCACCTTTAAAGTTCATTAATTCAATAATTTACTATTAAAAAAGTGCCTTCAACGGATAGACTTAATGTAATAGTATTGTCGTTCCAGGAACGAAACTCAACAATGTTGTCGCAAATTGAGAATGATTTCTGAAGTGCAAAGCAAATCGAAAACTTAAAAATAAATTTATTTTAAACTTAAATTTTGGCTTATTCCCAATAGAAATAGTAATTGTATATAGATGGCACAAGAAAATAGCTTCAAAACAATGTCTTAAAACATAACTCAAGAACTGCATTTTTATTTGTTTTGCTGGTCAGTAATATTTCTGCTGTTGGCTGGTAAATAGTGGCGGCGGTATTTATGTACGAGAGCGTCATGTATATTACACTAAGAACCTAATTCATTTATACCATTTTATTTACTTCACTCTACAAATGTTTATTAGACTAACTCTCTACAATTTAATTTGCTTTATATATGTTTTCCCGTTATTCTTTAATTCTATCGAAGTCTCTCGGAGGACCGTTGACTTGTTCGACAAGAGTTTAGGGCCCCTCGTGACGTCAGAGCGCCGTTACTTGGTACTTTTGAACACTTGCTTTACCGTTTGCATAGCATGAGTTGGAACAGTGTGGAGTCGTCTAGACTGCACAGTTCGTTTGGTGACAACACTTCGCCGTTAGAATGGGTATCAGTACCCAAGCGAGCGGTCTGACGTAACATTACCCCCTCCTTAAGAGATAATACCTCCTGTAATCTTATCGGGACTGGAACTTGATGCTGGTATCAGCAACTAGACCCTCTTCTACAACTCCAAGTTTTATAAAATTAGCAAAAGACGGTTTTAGCTCTGCATCTGTTACCATGCGGATTGCAAGAGTACCTGGATTTCGGTGTCTTTAAAGACTTTCTCCACAATATTTCGGAAAACCATCCAATATAATTGGCGGCATTCTAGCTTTCGCATGGCTGACTTTGGAACGTTAGCACGTGCTGTCTCAATTGAAGTACTGTTTGCTATACATCTTGGTAGGTGTGTTCACCAGAGCCTTCAAAATGCACCATTAAATGACTTTTTAATGTCACAGAAATGAAATAAGTAGTTATAATTTCGCTCGAATTTTTATAAATGTCCAAACAGACAGAAATGTATATCTTGACAATGAGAAATTTTATGTTGATTGGGAATTTTAATCTTCTGTAAGAAATTTAGACGCTATCTCTCTCTAAAATACCATTATGGAAGCGATTATGTATGTATTCACATTATTGGTTAATTAAAATTACCGTAACATTTGAGACAAGAATCTTGCAAATATTTTTAATACTCAATGTCACTGGTTTATGACATTACGTTCCAGATTATTGACTTCGTCAAGAAAACACTGATGGTATCATAATTTTAATGAAGCTTTGACCTCTTTTTGTTGTTAATACGACAAGTATGCCCAAAATCTTGATTACTGTAATATAATACTTATAAAAAAATCTATGAGCTTTAAGCTTTACCCTTTACGAGATTTGCTTAGTCTGGTCTTGATTTTGACATTTTTTTTGTGGGCTCGCAATGGGATACAGAAGGTCGATGATTCTGATAATGTGAGTCATTCGCATACTTTACAAACCATGAGATTTTTTGACGGCGAATTCGTTAGAAGCTTAAGCTTATGGCCAGCATGTCATTCAAAGGTTTGCACTGAAACACGTAAAGCACATCTCTTTTTTAAGTTGTTTCTCATGCATTATCATATATATTTATATTATTTATATATACGATTAATAACTATACTATATATTTATAGTTAAAAAAACACGTACTTAATACATAAGTTACCTAATAAAACGTTTTTTACGAAAAAGGTTCTCATAGTCAGAAACAAGTTATCCTTTGGGCGACTTAGATATAATTGTAGTCATAATGATAATTGGCAATCTGATTATTAATATCTTACGTCTGCATTACAGTTGTTACAGTACTACCTATCAAATGTAAGATAATTAAACAGTATCTATGTATTTCCTATATTGTGTTTAGTCGATCCTGGTATATGTTATTTACAATTATAAAAAGTTTATGTTATACTCACTACTTAATTATATTGCTGTTTGATATCTCAGAATCAATACTCTTCATAAATATTTTCCTATTTAGAATCTATAAGTTTCGTAGTTTATTGCTAATACTTCGTATCTATGGAATAATAAATAATTTTGTTTTATATTTTCTTTGTTCGATAAAGTTATCCGTTATTTGCCTTTTTAACGTATTCAATATTTGAGTCCAAATCTTCTCTTGTATCAAATCCATCCAGATCAACATCGTTAAATAAATTGTAGATAAAGATACTTCTTATAAATTCATAGTTTACGAAATAACAGGAGTGTTAATTTGCATCTCTAATTAATAATAATTATAATGTAATATATTTGTTTAATTCCAAAACAAAGAGTAGTCGGAGAGAAAATTAAAAGATAGTTATTCCATAAACAAAAATTTGGTGTCAGAAGTGGGATATTAGTAGCAAGAGCTTCTACTGATAGCTGATAGAAGGAGAGCTGAGGAATATTAGATTGACTTGTTTCTCGAGGAATAAAATAATATTCGAATTTTTTCAAACAAAAAAACCATGTCAGTGTGGAATAATCGCACATTCCAATAATTACATGGGGTCCGTAACATCCAGTTCGAAAATCTAGCGTTCAGTCATAACCAGATTGTAGTTCATCGGAAGAAAGAGGTTGAACGTGGAATTAATAGTACTATGCGCCAAACAACAATATTTACTGGGTACAGTAATTTATATAAATTCATGTTAATATTTAAATCTTGTAACGAATGTTACTTTTATATACTGATATACGTATACTTACATTTGACGAACAAATACCTTTCGCCGACTCAAATTCTTTTCAAATTTTCTACTTCTAATTCAAAAAACTGTCTCGCAGTGATCACTTGAAATAGCTGAAAAACTTTCAATTATGATTTTGATGGTACCAAAGATAAAATTAATACGAATTCCTAGACACAATTTGTGATAAAGCATACAATTAGTAATCCGCAATCCAAAAACCAATCCTATAGCGCATTATAGAACACTAAATTAAAGTACAGCTTGGGCTAACTAGGAAAACAGGCGAAATTTTGACGAATGGAAAGATTTAAAAGACCTTGTTATTAGATGCTTCATTTGAACGCGAACTGAAGGCTCAGTGCAATATTGGAATTACATCTCCTATAGCGTCAGATGCAGTGAAAATGTTTCATGTCATCTGCAGAATAATAGTTCTTGGAAAATTGCTATATAAAATTAATTAATAACACTTGATCCAGAATTATCTCTAGATGCAAGAAATAGCATGTATTAACTCTTAAACAATCATAAGCACTAAATGTCTATTCTACGAGGATTAAAACCATGGACCCTTCTATTTTAAACAAAGCCGAAATCAGATTCCTTAGAAACGAGCTGTTGCTTATCGCAATTGACCGGAAGAACAAGATCGTTATCAGACAGGAAAGTTTCGCTACATTCTGTCATATTAGCAAAAAGAAACTAACATTCTCTGTCAAATACCTGTCGATATAAATAACTTCAGATAGACATGTTAGGATCTTCAAAAAATTTAGTTTTCCAAAACCATAAATATCCTAATTCACTTTCAAAGGGTCAAATCTCGAAAATCCAAAAATTATTAAACTACACTATTCACTCTTCAAATCTGATTTTCCTCCTAACTTAAGAGACAGAAAACTAGTCATACACTTTCCCAACGTTTTTGCAGATACTGCAAAAACAAGGTCACGTTATAGAAGAATGTAGGAAAACGCGAATGTTAACAATAAAAAACACAAAATCCAATACAAATTCTGTTAAAACTTCAGAATCTGACAACCAACTGGATGCGATTTCTCGAGAGAGTTGATGTCAGTCAGGCCGTATCACAACCTCTACTTTCTGTACTTACTATGTAGATTTACCCTTAGTTAAATAATTCGCTCATCATCCTTTGCAAGTTTCTAATCGATCCAGGCGCAGGATATCTTTAATTATATTATTCAAAATACTAAAACATTCAAAAATGTCTATTCATAAGTATATTACTCTTCGAGGCATTGATAAAAATGTTTAAATCCAAATCAAAAATCTATATGTATTTGTAACGTCAATGTCAGATTAAAAAAGATTATGTCAACTTCATGTTTTCTATGTCGTATAGAAATGAACGAATTTCTTTCATTTCACGACGCGTATATTAGGGTAGAGATTTTTTTTGAATTCAATAGAATGCCATATTTGATTATAAAAGAAAATAACTCTAAACTTTAAAAATTGTGTTATTGCAATTGAATACTAATAAAAATCCATTAAAACACTGACAATGGACGAATTTCTGAGAGATCAAAAAATGAGCCATGTTCTAATATCGATGAAATATTTCCTTATGATGCTAAATCAAATAGAGGATATTCTTCTTAGAAACCACTGATATCCATATACCTTAAGTAGTGAAGAACTCTATCAACTACCAATTCAATCTAAAATTCACTCTAAATCACAGAAAATTCAGACAAATGTGTAAAATCTCACTGAGATATGCCAAATAAAACTTGTAAATCTTAGGAATTCATAAATCAAAATCTGTTCAGAAGAAAATCATGTTAGACGATTTATAACTAAATCAAAACTCTAAATTCTAATCCAGAAGTAATATAATTTTTATCGCAAGACACTGATAAACAATTGTTCAAATTAAAGTAATTAAATTAATGCATAGCGTAGGATTATGTCCGAACGCGAAATATTTAAAGGTGTATTTTATGTCTAGTGTTGTTAAAAGTAAAAAAAAGATTTCTTTTTAAACTACAATCAGTTTAAACATACTGAAAACCGGATGTGAAATTAAACGATATATCAAGTAGCAATAGAAAAATTCAATTTACCAAAAACATGCAAATATAGAAAAATGCGTTCTTATATAGATAATTCGAATTCTTACCAGAATGCTAAATTAAAAATGCCTTTTGAGAACTACAGATCATTTAAATAGTGAAGAAAAATCATTTTAATTTCTAATTGCAAGGAGTACAATCTATACTTTCATCGGAAGGAGTTAACCTTACCAGTACCACGCATAATTGACAACCTTCTTTAATTTCTACTGTAGCTATTTGCACTAAATCTAAGGTATCTGAAGTACATCAAACATAGATACGTCGAAATCTCATTTAAAGGATATGCTGTTCAAGGTCATTATCGAGAATCATCTTCGCTCATGGATTGGATTCCGCCCTTTGGGTGTGCAAACAAAAGGCGATGCTCAGCAAAGAAGAAATGGCGACTTGTTATGACTATCGACACGACTAAATGATATTTAACTATAGAGGAGATTCTTCCACTTCCGCAATATAGTTCGATATATGTAGACAATTGTTATTCAAGATATTTTCAACAGATAGATTTAACGCATCGGGATTTCACCAGATCAAAAATGGATCTGTGGATTTCCAAGAAGTATCTCAACTGTTGGACATTATCCATATTACGAATGCCATTAGGATTAAAAAATGCTCCAGTATTTTTCAACGGTACTGAATACTGTTCTCTCAGGAATACAAAATTACAGTTGTTTTGACTTACTCGACGGTATATCGTCATTATGCCGGGAATTACATTAGAAAATCATAAAATGATTAAAAGAAGTATTCGAACAATTGTTACATTCAACTACTCAAATAAACAACCAAAGATAAGTCTGCCGAATTTTTTTCGTCGCTGTAGTAAGTATTAGGTATTTAATAAACGGAATTTTGTGTCTAACCGGATCGAAAAAAAAGAGTACTGTGCTCGTTACAGTTTCACTATACCAGAAACAAAAAATATATTAAGAGCTTTTTGGGTACTACTGGTTAATATATGACGCTTTATATAAAAAATTTCAGTGCCCTCCCGTTAACAAACCCTTTAACAAAAAACTCGCGAGGAAAAATGTTTGAATTTAATGACAAGCATTCAAACAGTCCTTATTTAGAACCTGAATATCAATACTTTGTTCTGAACCAATACTCACGTATCCAGATTTTTACCAAACCTTTGTTTAAACACGGATTGATTTGTAAATTATGCAATTGGGGTCCATAATCTTTCTCAAGTAAAGTTACCAGGATGGAGTTTACTATTGCTTATGTAGTAGTATTGAAAATGCGGATCAACTTATAGCAACGACAGAAAAGTGATACTTTTGCACTTGTAATGGGTGTTAAACACTTGCTTATCGACCATATTTGTACGGAAATCATATTTTTCATTTTTTATCGGATCATAAACACTCAATGGACATTTAATGTAAACGATCGGATCAAGACTCGTTAGGTGGAGATTAGCATTAGAAGAAATATAGTTATGAAATTATTTATAAACCAGGTCAGAAATTAAATCAAAATGCTGATTGTTTCTAAGTCGTCCTCCTTTAACTCCCATATACTGAAAGCAATATTGCGAAGTGAAAATAAAGAGAAAACAAAAACCGGCAACAATCACTTCAAAATAAACAAAATGAGTAAGAAACATACTGACATTATTCTCAGTTCTGTATCTAAATCCGAAAACTAAATTAATAACAAATGATAATATAAAATAAACAATGAAAAGATTTCATTTCACAAAATTTCGCATGTTTGTTCGTTA